AGAAAGGAAAACAGCTGATTTGAGCTAACTTGGTCCAGTTAATCATGATCTCAATAAGAAATTATGTGCAGCTATATTTTTAATGCTGGTAACCCTTGAAAGAAAGATGAAAAGCCATCTACTTAATTACTGCCAAATGGACTCTGCTCTGTGAGTTCCAAATCTAGAGCAGACATGTCCTGTTGGCTTTTGGCTCTAAGCTGAGCTGAGCTCTATTGTGTTATATGATGGAAGAAACTAAATGGGAAAGGGAATTGCCACTGGAAAAATGCTATTACCTACCCAGGGGTAACTGATTACTTTTTCTATGAGTGAGCAAACTGCTGAGAAATGGATTGTATTCCCTGAAAAACAATAGCCATCTCTTAACATAATAGTGAATGCTGAAAACATCTGTAATGCTGTCAGAAAAAATAGATATATTCTTCATGCTCTAAGTCACTTTAGAGTTTTAGTTTTCTTCCCATTTGCTTTGCTTTGGCCTGTGTACTAGAAAAGAAGAGTACAGGAAGAAATAGTACCTAGATTTTATCTCATTATTTATACTCTGCCTCATTCCACAAAGAATTTACAGCAGCTTAGGATTCTTATAGTTCAACCTACTTACTTAAGCGATCAGGAAACTGAGGTTCTGAGAAGTGCTTTACCCAACATCCCACAGCTAGTTAGTGTTAGCGCTGGAACTGAAACTCCTACCCTTCTCTTTCCTTGTTGAAGTTATCATTACATCCCATCTCTACCACTACCTCCATCCATTCACTTTTTTTCAATAACTGTGTTGAATGCAAACATTTGTCAGGCACTTTTTTCCCCCTAGATAGTGTAATAGAGAATAGGAAGGACATGGTTAGTGTCCTTGGAGTGCTTATCATATAGGGAGAAAGAGAGATGTGAAGCAGATGTTCATACAAATCAGGTCAATTATGAAAGAAACAGAGCTATAAGAACGATCATTGTATAGGGTGCCATAAACACATAATGGAGGTCCTGGAAGGCTTGTTTCAGGAAATGACATTTGTGGTAAGCTATGAAGGAGAAAGAGGAGTAAATTAGACAAGAGACTTGGGTGACAGGTATGCAGAACAAAGGAGAATAAGGTGAGAGAAGGCCTTGAGGAGATCTTGGCTCAGCTGAGAAATGGGAAGAAAGCCTGTGCACTGGACTAGAACATGGTGAGCAGGGGGCAGAGAGCCCCAGAGGAGCCAGAGATGGGGGCTGGGGCCAGGTTGTCCAAGGCCTTATAGCCTCCTTACCAGTTTTGGACTGGATCCTAAGTATAACAAGAAGGCATAAGAGGATTTCAAGCAGAGACTAGAAATATAATCAGCTTTATGTGTCAGGACCATAATAACTGCTGGGTGAAGAGTGGATTGGAGAGAAGATAAGTGGATGTAATGTGAGAGACCAAATAGTATGCTCTTGCATTAAT